AGCTGATGCATATTCCTTTGTTTTCCAAATGTCATTTAGTACAAGGAATTTCCTCGTCTCGAAAAATTAAACCTCCGAGAAGAACTCTTCTTTAATTATTTGAGGATAAGAATATTTTACGTCGCTAAGCGATGAATTTTCGATGGTATAACACCACCTAAGTAACGCCAAACAATGTCAAAATGTAGTTGTGATGTATGTTGAATTTATATTGACTGTAGTGGTCACGTGATTTGCTGACTTGAATATTCGAAATCGTTTCAACATGAAGCACTCCACCCTTTGTATTACGGTGTGATCAATGTTTTTCGCAAAATTGATTTATCTTCAAACTCATTTTTCTAATATCTAAATATTATAGAATTTTAATATCAGACATTCAGTAATATACAGCGAGTTTAAGTAAAGGTCTTTAACGATGTCTTGGCAATATAAGATACCTTTCACGTACAATCAGATCCACCAGTGATGGATTTAATTACACTTATGGAAAAAAAAAGAATATAAGGGTAGATATTTAATTCTGGATTTTTTTTTTTACTCTTAAGGTGAAATATTAATCTTCCTAAGCTTTCAGTTTGTTTGTTAGTTCGTAGCGCAAAGCTACACGATAGCCTATCTTCGCTTTACCTACTACGAGGAATCGAACCCTGGATGTTAGCATTATAAATCCGTAAACTTACTGCTGACTCGCTGGGGGATCTCGGCTTGTCATTATATTACTTTTGTCCCATAATTCCTGAGAAAAAATTAATTCGGGAAGTTAAGAAAATTATTCTGAATTCAGCGAATTATAAACAGAATGAATATTGTAATTTTCTGCTTAATTATTGATTAAATACGGAGTTTCACTACTTGTTACTATATTGTTGTTTTGCTTTCGTGGTTCGAATTTTGATACCTATTAGATTAATACTGTGTGAATCATCTTGTTATTTAATACTGTGTGAATCACCTTGTTATTTAATACTGTGTGAATCACCTTGTTATTTAATACTGTGTGAATCTCCTTGTTATTTAATACTGTGTGAATCACCTTGTTATTTAATACTGTGTGAATCACCTTGTTATTTAATACTGTGTGAATCACTTGGTAAAATCTCAATAATTACCTTTAAGCCAACCAAAGGATTGTAGGAGATGAGAAATTTTTAATTCGTATTAATAACAACTGAGGTAATTAGATTTTTGAATGGCTATACAAGATCGACTTTTCCAAACACAGAATGTTTTCGTGTTTGTTTGTTTTTTTTAATGTCATTTTGAAACACACAATTTACCCCTGGTTATTCTTTCCTTACGCATGACTTTGTGATATCTTCACCGTTGAACAATGAAATTAAATTTTACAAGCTTCTCAATCTTGTGGTTAGCGTGTCAAACTGCGGATCGAAAGCTTCAACATTCTGGACAGCAATTTACTGCTGAACACGGTCTGCGCTTTCAGTTGTGGGCGCGTAATGAAAGTGACACTCAGTTTTGCTATTTATGAAAGAATAAATAGCCTATAGGAGACAGAGCCATTACAAGAACTACTAACTGGTTGCTTTCCCTCTGATAACAACTCTAAAACAGTGACATCAAGGTCTGTACCATGGATCTTTGATCTGGTCGTATAGCTCGGGTGCTACGTATGATACTGTTCTATTTGAATATAACAAAAATTCAACATTGCCACCAATTAAGGAGATGAGTATCCCTGGGATAATGTTTATTTACTCAACATTGCCACTAATTAAGGAGATGAGTCCCCCTGGGATAATGTTTATTTACTCAACATTGCCACTAATTAAGGAGATGAGTACCCCTGGGATAATGTTTATTTACTCAACATTGCCACCAATTAAGGAGATGAGTATCCCTGGGATAATGTTTATTTACTCAACATTGCCACCAATTAAGGAGATGAGTCCCCCTGGGATAATTAATGTTTATTTACTCAACATTGCCACCAATTAAGGAGATGAGTATCCCTGGGGTAATGTTTATTTAGAGTTTTAGGAGGAAAGCTTTATGTGGTCAAGTGTGTTTCCTTGTAACGTTAAATTTATATTAAAATAAATATTGAGGAATACATTAAACGTTTATATTTAACTACTTCAAATTCGTAATAAATATGACAGAACTTAACGTTGAATGTATTTTTTTCAGAATCCTTTCAGTCATTTCACCGCAGATTTTATATCAGAGGTGTGTAATGTGTAAGAATATTTATCTTAGATCTGCTGTAAGTTATTGCCCCCCCCCCCTCCCAGTGGCACAGCGGTATGTCTGCGGACTTCCAACGCTAAAATCCGGGTTTCGATACCCGTGGTGGGCAGAGCACAGATAGCCCATTGTGTAGCTTTGTGCTTAATTACAAACAAACAATTTAAGTTATTGCCCAGGAGGCCTCTCATTCAAAACCAATGCTCGTCAGTTCTTTATTTTAGTTTATTTTTTTGAAAGCTCTATATTCACATTAAATTGGATAGAATAAGATCTTCTTTTTCTATCACAACCATCTCTATTACTGCAGATGACATTTGAGAAAGGACGATCGGTAGATCTGCTATGTATTTACACACATCTGCTTTGAAATTCATTATGAACTGACAATGAAAATTATGATACAAATATCTTCCATCTAACATGTTTTATCACATTTCACGAACTTTAAAGAGATTTCTCGATCCGCCAGCTTAGCTACTTAACACATTAATATGCATACTTGTTTTACACGCTATTAATTAATGTATATTCACGAAGTATGTTTGTTTAATATGCTATTAAACACCTTCTACATGAAGAACATTCGCTATCGAACTGGTCTTAGCTTTAGTCCGATAATCCGATATTAAGAAACCCTAGTTATCTGTAATTTCGGTGTCTCTTTTCCAAGTCTGACTTGTAGAAAACTCGACTTATATATATTATTTATTAATTGGTGCATGTAAAATGTAATATTAAAGTTTACTATTGAAATGTAAGTTGCAAGTCTGACTTGTAGAAAACCCGACTTATCTATATTATCTATTAATTGATGCGTGTAAAATTTAATATTAAAGTTTACTATTGAAATGTAAGTTGCAAGTCTGACTTGTAGAAAACCCGACTTATATATATTATTTATTAATTGGTCCAAGTAAAATGTAATATTAAAGTTTAATATTGAAATGTAAGTTGCAAGTCTGCCTTGTAGAAAACCCGACTTATCTATATTATTTATTAATTGGTGCATGTAAAATGTAATATTAAGTAACGTGAGAATCTTTCTCTCGCTCCTTTCTCTTTTATTTGTTTATCGTAAGTATCCCTTTATTTACGATTTAGTTTTATCCTTTCAAATACCCCGTCCCAGCCGTGAGGGCTTTATAATGTGACGGTCAATTCCACTATTCATTGGTAGAAGAGTAGCTCAAGAGTTGGCGGTGGGTGGTGATGACTAACTGCCTTCCCTATAGTCTCTCACTGCTAATTAGGGACGGCTAGCACAGATAGCCCTCTTGTAGCTTAGCGCGAAAGTACAAACTCCTCGTTTCCTGCCATTGTTTTTAAAATTGATCCCACCCATTAACGGTTGAAGCTGAATATATGCTAACACTATAGATATTATCTCCTACCCCACCCTCTGGTTGTTACTGTGTTACAGACACTAGTCGGATGTAACTAGTAAAAAGTATCTTTACTTTCATTGTGTCAAAAATAAAACGTTTTTTTTTTATTCTAGATATAGTGCCTGAAAATATATTATAGTCCCCGTAGGACAGCAGTAAGTCTACGGACTTACGAAGCTAAAGTCCAGGGTTAGATTCCCCGCGGTGGACACAGCAGATAGCCAAACGTGGCTTCGTTTTAAAGCAAAAAAAAATTATAATTATAGAATTCATCTCTGTTTGTTTCATTGAAGTGTGTAAAGTGCATTGAATTAACATTTTAAAGTCAATTACAATTTATTCTAAATAAATATGATTTAATTAAGTCTTGAATTGTTAGTACTATTAAACTTTTACTGTAGAAAGGTTCTAGTGTTTGGCTGAAAAAAATCAAAATACACACAGAACAGATACTTTCAAACTTGTGCCTTACGAAAGGTCCTTTTTCATTATTTGTTAAAATCAAAACTACCATCAATTGTTATATTTTATCATTTTCCTTCAATAAATGGGCTCAAAGGGAGTCAAATTTGTACCTGAAAAATTCAATAATACTATATTTTTGTTCGAAAACATTATTTTCCAATGCGTATGACAAATTTGCCCAACAACACAACATTGCGTCCATTTATTATATTCTTATTTAAAGATAGGGGCATAAAGGGGAATAAATTTCTAAGTCAACGTTTAGTTGTAGGCTGTGTTTACAATAAAACAAGTAATTCGTATATCCAACGGATGTGTCAAATTCGTAAAACCTGTAAAAACAAATGACCACAACTAAGTTTAAAATACGTTGCACTGTAGCGTTGTTTTTTCTAGTTTGAATGCTTACGTATTTGATGTATTTTAGAACGTGATACTGTTTCTTGAGTTTCGATTTCTATACCAAAACAATCTCATGTAATATTCAGGAAATGTCGTAGATAAATATAAAAAGCTCTTCAAATATTTAGTTAATATATTATTTATTTATAAAGCATTCTGTTTGGCGTGGAAATCTAATGGAGTTGATTTCATATGGGAAGATAGTATATTTTTTTTATTCTCTATGTACGAGTGTATGTGTTTCATATACGGATCTTTTAAACGACAATAAAAAAGTCAATGTTTTGAAAAGCTGAATAAAATATTAATTTTTAAAAGTTTTTTTTTACTCTCACTCAACCAAAAATCGCGATATCTAACTTTTTAACTCCTACTTTTTATTTCTCTGTTGTCGAGATAAAAAAAAGATGTTTAATTAATTAATATAAATGTACGAATGTGGTTGCTGGGTGTGCACAAATGTTTGATTTGAATTGTTAAAATGCTGCTCTTCCAATATATAAATACTGACAGTTTTTATTTCTTTTATATTTCCAGTTAGTTCCAAACTGTCTACGTAGATGATTTACCAACCAATAAGATACTGGAATTTTCCCAAATCCTTCGATTCACATCATTAGTGATTAGATCATCCGAATGAAAACATATAGTGCAAAATTTGTTCCCGTTTTGAAAAAACACAATCACATGCGACCCGGAACTTCATAGAAAAACCTATATACAAATCACGTTATTTGAGTTCAATTGTTCCATACAAGAAAAATAACTTAGAAATTTTAAAATGGCCCCAGAATCATCTTCAGTAAAATCTTGTTCCTTGACACTGTGGAAAACTACAACTCGAAATTATTCGCGTCCTGGACATTCTGAATTTCGATATGCTATATGTTACTGCTTAACGTTATTTGTGTGTTCCGTTTTATCGAGAACGTTCCCTGCTGTGTTAGGACAAGAACCAACTCTTTTTACCGATTGTGGGGGTACCCTACGTGATCCTAGAGGGGTTATTTGGACTCCTAACTTTCCCAATCCCTACCCAATACCCATCAGTTGCAGGTGGAAGATCGAAGCTCCTGGAAACCAGATGATAGCCATTTATCTCACGCAGTTCTACATGCGAGAAGGTCTTCGCGCTACCGAGTACGCTTATTTTGAGGATGAGTCTCAGTACATGGGCAAAACAGATTTGGGTTTTATTAGCGCAGACTCAAAATTTAGCCAACTAGTGACGAACAAGACTATTCTGGTGTTAGACTTCACTGTATTGGAACAGGGCAACGTACATTTGCGGGTTATTGATTTGTTTCTTGATGTTTATGGATTTAACATCACTTACGAGATGATCAGCAAAATCAAATATCGAACAGATCCTTGTATCAAAAACCACTGTTCTTATAATGGAAAATGTATTGCTTCTGCAGATTTTTCTGTCTACCAATGTCACTGTTTACAAAAGTATTATGGAGAGGAGTGTCAGTACTCCCCCGAGTGTGGTCCCGAAGCAAAGTCAAACATGTGCTTTAATGGAGGAACGTGTAGGTGAGTGAAACGTAACTAACAGACCATTTTAATATGAGTGAAACATAAATAATAGACCATTTTAATATGAGTGAAACGTAAATAATAGACCATTTTAATATGAATGAAATGTAAATAATAGACCATTTTAATATGAATTAAATGTAAATAATAGACCATTTTAATATGAGTGAAACGTAAATAATAGACCATTTTAATATGAATGAAATGTAAATAATAGACCATTTTAATATGAATGAAATGTAAATAATAGACCATTTTAATATAAGTGAAACGTATATAATAGACCATTTTAATATAAGTGAAACGTAAATAATAGACCATTTTAATATAAGTAAAATGTAAATAATAGACAATTTTAATATGAGTGAAACATAAATCATAGACAATTTTAATATGAGTGAAACTTAAATAACAGAACATTTTAATAGGGCAACGATTAGAATCACAGTACAAGTTAACCTTCCAAGTTAGAAGCCCCTTAATAGCAAACCTGTTCTCTGTGGTGTGAAATTTCGTTGTTTTTTTTCTTCCAATTCAATATAACTCTTCATAAACTTTTATATTGATGTTGATATTGTTGTTATTGATGTTGTTGTATTGTTCTAATATATCTATAAATATAGTAATTTTCGTTCATAAAATATTTTTAAAAGGTAGAACTTTTGAATTTCTGTGAGGTAATATGAATTGCTTGATCTCCATCAGGTCTACTAGAGTAATCATTTATTTCTGATAGTGTTTGGTTTGAAATACGCGCAAAGCTATACGAGGGCTATCTGCGCAAGCCGTCCCTAATTTAGTAGTGATCTAGAAAAAACATTAAAGGAAATTTGTGCAAAAACACAAAATGAAATATAATTCGTGCTAGAGCAGGATGTACTAATGATGTGTTAGCAAAGCCAGGGAAGATAAACTTCACGACTAAAGGGGTGTATGGTTTACTAAAATTCACTCTTAAATAATTCATAATCTTCAACAATTCATAATTTTAACCAGACTAATTTTTTTTAACTGTAAACATCTAAAGAACGTGATTTTATTTTGTTAAATTTCGCGCAAAGCTACTCACCGTCTATCTGTGTTAACTGTTCCTAATTTAGATGTAACTGACATGAAAGCAACTAGTCAACAACACCCACCGTCAACTCTTAGGCTACTCTTTTACCAACGAATAGTGGGATTGACCATCACTTTATAACGGCTCCACGGCTAACAGGGGCGAGCATGTCTGGTGGGACAGGAATTCGAACCCGCGACCCCCAGATTGCGAGTTAAGCGTCCTAACCACCTGCCCATGTCGGGCTTGATACTGGGTGTGATAATCTGGAAAGTTTGTATACCAAAGTTGGAAGGAGTTTAAAATATTGAAACTTGGACGTCCATTTGCTGCCTTAACTCATTGTTTTGATAAACTCATTGTTTTCGTCAGAGATGATTTTTTTGTTTGGTGAGTTTCATGCAAAGCTACACCCGGGCTATCTGCGTTATTCGTTCTAATTTAGAAGTGGTAGACAGGGGGAAGGCTACTAGTCAACATCACCCACCGCCAATTTTTGTGTGTCACCTTTTATCAATGTCGCATCAAAAAAATCCCCAAAAAAATGCTGAAAGGACGAGCATGCTCAGTGACCAAATTCAACCCTAAGACCCGTAGATTGCGAGTCAAATGCCTAAATCAATTGGCCATGCCAGGCCCCATGAGGTACGAACTCCTCACAAACGTAAAGCGAAATTTTGAATTCATTTCAAACTGATATTGCTTCACTATGAAATAATGACTAACGGTATTCGACTATAAGTACTTTTGAGTGGTAAGATTTTGTCACACACACACATCTAAAATCCATTCGCAGCCCTCAAACTGAGTTTTGAGAACATTAAATCTCAGGATAAATTGGTGTTATTGTAATTTATCTACCTTATTCAAAGAACTTAATATTCTTTGTGACGGATTTACTATCCTGTATCTATTTTAATATCGATGCTTGTAAATTTATATGTAGAAATGTACATAACTTATACTGTTATATCTGTATTGAGAAATTCCCGCTTATTCACTAAAATTGTAGAAAATTCACGAGTGTAAGAATCAACAATATATGTGTGTACGTAAACACTGGTGTATCGTTTATATTGTTGCGTAAGCTGAAATTTCGAGAAACTCTCCTCACGCCTCTAAATATAACCAACGTGATGCGCCAAAAAACAGTATATATTATTGGTTTACTATAGTTGGTGTGCTATAAACTTCGGAAGCTATAATTGTTATTGTTATAACGCTTATTAATCGGGAACTTCAGATATTTGACCTGGAACGTTTATAGATTTCGAATATTACAAACCATTTAACTTCAGCGGATTCACATCGACATTAGTATTCTTACGACAACATTATATAACTTCATCAGTAGATAACTCGGCGTCTGTGGCCGGCGAAGACCGCATAGCTAGCTAGCTCTCTGTTAATTGAATTGTATCTACATCTACTCATAATTAATTCGTTCATCGTGAACCCTCGATAAGATATCAAGGAAGTTCCAGACCAGATGGAAGATTAAATATTGTTTGTAAGCTTGTAAAACTTGTGTACATAGATCATTATTTGTAATAACCGTTATTGTAAATGGTGTTATTGTTTGTATATTAAAATTGATTTGTATTAAAAAACTGTGTGTATCAATCTTGTTGGCGAGTATCATGAATTGGATACATATCGACATTTATATAATTTCACGATTTAACTCAGTTTCAAGCTATTCGAAATTATAATACGTTAGGTAAGAAATTGAAGCCTCGTCAGAGGTAAATTGTATTATGTAACAACTTTCCATTAGCAAATCCTTAGTATAATTTCCCTGAAAGGGGACCGAAGCCCGCCGGGAGGGGTCACCTGTTTTAACCACACGCACAGTAGTGTATTGTCAGTCAGTCAGTAGACGCTAAAACGACGTAACGTAAGAGACTCTTAACTTTGAAATTTGTACTGCAGTTTGTCAGTAAAACATGCGCATGCGATGAATCACGAGAAGAATTATGCACTCTGTAGGCTACAACACGTCATGATATATGAACTTTAAAAGCAAGAAGTAAAAATATTTGTTACTTTTAATGTTGGTTTTATTTACTCTTGAAACAGAACAATTTCGGGGACCCTGCGGAAGTACACCTAGTATTTTATATTGAATCAATAATAATGAAATAAAAAATTTAAATTTTGACTAAAAAAAATCAACATAATACACTTCAGATACAAGAGTAACAAACAGCTGGTTAGCTGAATCAAAGAATAGACTTAAACGAATGATAAATCTAAAAGTAATTACAATTTTAAGCCTTATGGACACGTCATGCGATATGTAGACTAAACTACCAGGTCAAAGGACCCCCTAGGTCCCTAATTTGGAATTACTTTTTACAGGAAAGGCAGCCAGTCAGCAGGACCCACTGCCATAAGTGTTTTGTCCACATATGTAATCATGTAACAGGATTGACTGTGATTTTTATAACGCGCCAATAGCTGAAAGTACAAGACGTGTTCAGTGACATTATGGTTCGAGCCTCGGACCCTTCGATCAGCAGCCCGGCATACAAACCCCAAAAGTCGCGTTTGTCCATGCTAAACAGACTAGAACTTGTACATTCCTTTTACATCCAGAACTATTGTTTTTTTAATATTAAATAACCGAACCTTACTAAGAATTATTTTCTTTTGATTAAAAATATAAGTACATTTTCTCGACTGTGTATTAAACTTTATTAGAATGGTCATTTTCTGTTTAGTTTTTATCACTGTTATAAGTACTACCTTAAAAGGTATTCAGTTACATACATCAACTTTTGTTCGACAATGTCCTTCATCACAGTTTCATGTCTGTAACAAAATACTACTTATTACCGTACCAGGCTTTACTACATTTTTTTTCAAGAAGAAGAAGAAAAAAAAACACCTTCACATTTTCGATTTTGCTGAAACAGACGCATTTGAAATGGAGTGTAAGTTGCAAGACATTAAACCGTTTATGATTGATATGATACATTTACCTTAGAGTCATATCGCTGCAGAACTGCAAGGAAAATAGAAAAAATATAAAGACGATTCCGAGCGCTCGGTTAGAAGTGTAGGTAAATACTTTATTAGTGCGTCATCATCCAGATCCTACTGTTTACTACGTAACAAGCAAGCCCACCCTATAATCTTATTATACAACGAGCGTTTCTTCTTTCTTTATCCTTCCGAAAACTCGCGTGGGTGTCAAATTCTGAGCAGTTTGAGTGGGTGTTGTTTCCAATGGTCTTTTATCAACATTGTAGGCATTTAGTGAGCAAGCAACGACACAGAACACACAGCTCACACTTCGTGATCCAGGAAAATATTAGTCAATGCCGTAGCAAGGAGGTTTGAGTGTGACCAAGTAATTATCACACCAGGTTGTGGATCCAAGTATCCAAGGTTCGCGTCCTCTTTTGCAAGAATAAAAAAATCGCACTCCACACTCTGGGGCCGAGGATGCGTTATAATAGCTTTGTGTGTTTGTTGGGCTACTGTTGGCAGACCGAATATATGGATTTGACTGTTACTCTTGTGTTTTGTATCCCAGCCCTAAAACAAAGAATTGTATACAGATGATTTAACAAAAACAACTTAGTACACTATTGGATTTCTCTATTGCATCCCCGAACATTCTTAAACACACAAAGTTGTTACTTGTTGCACATGCGCAATAAAAAATTGTGACGAAACAGCACGTTGGTGATACTTTTAGTTTTTAAATCCTTCAGTGAAACTCTGTTAAATAATCTTTCAGAAGTTTAAGATGTTTATTTAGCTCACATGAAGTGTTTGAGGTTTTAAACTGATACATGCGTCGTTCAGACACTATTCCTACTGCCAAGAACGAAGACTGTGTAAAGAAGATATAAAAAAAAGAAAAAACGTATTTTCCTCCGCATCCGGAAAACGAGGACTGATTTTATTAGCAATTTTAATACGTTAAGCA